ACACGTTATTCTCCTGGTGTCCACTAGAGGCATCGCTGCTGTATTATAGAGATAATACACGTTATTCTCCTGGTGTCCACTAGAGGCATCGCTAGTGTATATACATGTTATTCTGAAGAAGAAGAAGAAGAAGAGCACTTCCTGTTTTCTTGTTAAGTTTTTATTATGCTTAAAAAAGAAAATTAAAAGACAGGAGGTGATCAACAAAAAAGAAAAAAAATATATATATTCATATTCAAATATCTTTATACCTTTCTGTTCATATATGATTAACAAAGCAAAGAAAATAATTCCCGTAGTAGTAGTGCTTAAGTAAAGTTCAATATAGACTTTTATTATAACAAAATAGGCAGTTTACCGAGGGTTAAATATCTGTCAGAGTACAATAAGAACCTGCTGTTTGGGACACACCTGCAGACACCTGGAGGAGGAGGAGCTCCACAGATCATCACTTGATCACATGATCAAGATGATGAAGATGATAAAATATCAGGTTTAAAATCAGCTTCGTTGCTGTGAAACATCTCGTCAAGTCGTTCTGTCTTTATTTCAAATAAAGACAAATAAAAATAAAAGTTTGAATTATGAGAAACAAGAGAAACAACCTCATGAGTCGCGATTATACATTTGATCATATTTATGTTAAAAATAAAGATCTGAGACTTATTTATAATTAAAAAAATCTAAATTCCACAAAAGAGATCATACTTATAATAATGATAATTATAATTACAAAGCAGTTTTTTCTGAAGTATTCTTCAAATCATTGTTTATTTTGACAGTTTAACATTTGATTCTAAATACTCTTGAATTATTATATATATTTATATTGATTATCTTTCACAATTACTATGAGAACTATGAGATCAATACATTTTCTATCATTAAAATAAAATTCTGAATTTCTTCTGATTATGAGTTTTCTTTAAATTATCATTTGTTTTCCAGTAATTTAGCATTCTCTCACATTAAATCATGTTTTTGAGTTTTATCGATAATTTCCTCAGAGTTGTGATTTTCTCACGATTACAAATACTCCTGAACTTTTGTTTATTTATATATTTATATTGATTCCTGTTAATATAATAATATAATTAGGAGCTTGTGTTGTTTTTATTTATGACTTTAATGTCGTTTAAAAAGTGATTTAATATTTTCTTCAAAGTAAAATAAAAAGCTGAAATAGCCTTTGAAGGACACGAGGCTTCAGATTCCTTTGAAGGAAACGAGGCT